GGTAATGGCTTGGTTGTATTTGTTTTTATTGTTTTTTCCTTTCACATGTTCTTTAAAGCATGTAATAAATTGAAATTGAAAAGTAAACATGTAGGCATACCTGTCCCCAGAGCAAGGTGCCGACACCCAACGCCAAGCACCACAGCCATTGTTCGATGTTCAACGCAGCAGTACTGAACCATCGACCACCAAATTGAACGATAAGGATTTGTGAGACGAAAGTACTAATCCAAATGATGTAGTAGATCGGATTCGAGAACAAACCCTGCAAGGAAATCGTTGTTGCACGAAGAGAGCAAGTAATGGCGACTTTCAGCAGTACATACTATGTCACTGAGCCATTTACTCGACAGTACAGTACTACATAAGTATATTGTTATCGATGCTGAGGTTGAATTGTAATTTACCTATTTTGTCATGAACAGGAAAGATTAGGCTTGCAATCAGGATTTAGCAAGAATATTTGGTAAAAGTTGGAAATCAAGGAAGCTACTAGCCTTTACCCACTACGTGCCCCCATAATTGTACCGCCATTTCAAGAGAATTTTTTTTTTCGGAATCTTGGCCAATCTCCAGTTGGCAAGTTTGCACACCAGTTATGACAATGACTAACTTGATGCAACTGAGATATTGAAGGACCAAATACAACGTAGCCCGGCGTTAATCAATCCCGTCTGAGGAATGCGCCCCCGCAATTGACTTCCAATCAGAATCGTACTGGTGTATTGAATGCGTATGTGGCCTATACTATGACTTGCGATGGCCAGCCCATGTACAAGTCAGTGCTTTTATCCTCCCAGACGACCTGCCACCAACTAACCGGCCCTGGAGGGATGGACGGCTTGGTTTGCCTCGGCGGATATCGATCCGGGATTCGAACCCGTGACCACCTGTGCGAAATAGTGCTCAACTTTGCACTACAACGCCTCCGCCCCACTCAGAGAATATCGGTAGGATTACTGCTCAAAATTCTGGATAAAAACAAAGAAGTAATTCCGATGCATCGCTGACATTAAAGCATAATTAATGATTTAATCAATGGTTCCGCAGAGAACATCTGAGTAATTACTGCTGGGGAGAAAATAGATTTTTCGCAATGATTTTTAAACCACCCTTCACTTATCACTTCCACCACCATTACCAACATCAAACAGAGCAGATGACTAAGTAAAAAGAAAGGCATAAATCAGCTAAACTCACCGAAAACACGTTCCGCTCCCCATGAATCTTTCTAGCATTTATCTCGTTAAACAGTGTCATAAGCACGAATGTATTGAACACAATAGTGAAATGAACAGACGGCGGTGAATGAAGAGGAGCCCAACGACCAGATGGGATATCGAAAAGTTTCTCGCCTGAAAGGAGAAGTTCATTAAACCGTGGCTTGTTCTACACTCTTCTGTTCTCTATTTTCAGGTCGTCAACAATTGCTCTCTCCTCTGTAGTACTTCAGTATGAGGGGACGAAGAATGAATTCTTCTGGTGCCAATCAACCCGTCTTGGGTTGCCCAACGCACTCACTTTCAAAGAGAATTGTATTGGGGCCTCAATGCACATGTGGCCTACACAATGAATTGCGATCCCAGCCAGTGCTTTTATCCTCCCAGACGCGCCTGTTATCTACCCGGAAGGGATGAAAGACCCTTACAATGGGGCAAGTATCAACCCAGAGTTCGATCCAGGGACCATGCGTGTGTGGTTGTGCGCTCCTTGTCGCTACACCACGTTCAACTGTACTTCGAACTTAAGATGTCACCTTATCGTGGCCAACCCAAAGCACCCAACAATGCGTCTATCTCCTGAAATATAGTCGAAGCCTCCCAACGCCAATAGACTTACCGTAGAAAATCAGAACGAACAGCACAACCAGTTGATATACAGCATGTCCAAGAATGTTCTTGCTCATCGTGCGAGAAATCAGGGGGCTGGTTCGGCCATAGGGTTTCCTGAGTAGCAAGCTCTCATAAACACAATTCATGAAAAAAAAACCCTCAAAGTGACGGACCAACCAACCTTTTCAACAATTCTTCCGTAGGCATTTCCGTCGCTAAAGCCAATGAGGCTAGAGTATCCATAATGAGATTCACCCATAACATTTGTACGGCCTGAAGCATCAAATAATCTTGAATCAGTAATACTTCGAAGCGATACTTCTCATTATTACCTTCAAGGGAGTATCCTGAATGGCGCAAGCACCTACGAACGCTACTACAACGGCAACCACGTTTACAGTAAGTTGAAATTGTAAGAATTTGGCGATCGAATCATATACATTACGACCCCACATCACAGCCTGCAAAGTTTAGTTAAAACCAAGAAATTATTATGATTGGGACATTTCAGCAACAATCTGAAACATCCACTCACTTTTACAATAGATGTGAAGTTGTCATCGGTAAGAATGATATCAGATGCTTCCTTCGCTACATCGGTACCAGCGATACCCTAAAATAACCCATAATATTTGATCCTAACGTCATTGAATCCATATCTTGTCTCCTTTCTAAACGCACTTCTGATACTGTGTATTAAGCACTACATATTAGTATTATACCACTATTAGCATTAGCAGTATTTGAACTTTTTTGGATTCTGCTAGCTTTGTTCTTTTTGAGTGCCTTTTTTTTTGTTTTTCCCAAATGCATTCGTAATCGCGCAGCGTTTAATTACTTTCCATAAAAACTGCATGGTATTTCTGTATTGGTAACAATGTGCTGTTTCTCTGAAATAAAATGAGTAAAACTTTAGTACATTGAAATAGTAAGGTAGGTTATGAGCATTTCAGTTGCCGTGGCCGAAAGCCCCTCAGAGCGCACTGAACAGAGGCGCTCTGAGAAACTTTCGGCCATGGCGAATGAAAAGCTGGAACATCTTTTCGGGGGTTCTAATTTTTCACAGAGAACGGATCCAAGTAAACTATAACCTAAGGAGCTTCAGTCGTAATTTACTCAATTGTTCCCTCATTTTTACTTGCAAGTAGGCGATTATTGAATAAAAAAAGTTGTCACTATTCGCAAAACCCTTTACTTGAAGCGAATTTCCTGAGCGTAGGTGGTTTCCTTCCACATTTTGTCGGAACTTTCCGTTTAGGACTTCCCTACCACGTTGTACCCCCGTTCCTCATTGTTTTCATGCCGTCAAAGACTTCCTCCTCTTTTTCTCAGTAATAGATAGATCGGTCGATAAATGTTTTCTAGACATGATGAGCACATTTCACCAACTAGGTACAGCCAGGTAAGATAAACTGGCAGAACTTGATGGTGCAACCAGTGAATTCCTAAAACTAACCCTACCCATATGTCTCTCGAAAATATAATTCCCACCACGTATTCCCGAATATAGGTGACAATCAAATAAAAATATCCCTCGATTAAAAATGAGCCTAACCATGGCAAATCCGACATCGGCTTTCTTCAAAGCAGGTCCATCATTTGTTCCGTCTCCGGTTACCGCGACTACCTCACGTGAATCCGTTACACGAGAATCGATAATGCCCTGAAGTGAAGCAATTCACTGCAGCTACTTCATATAGCACACAACAACAAGCTCTCAATTAGACAACAATGGTAAACAAATGCTAAAACCAATACCTTCACGAGAGTGTACTTGTCGGAAGGCTGAGCACGAGCCAAAACTCGCAATTTCGGCCAGATCTGATCCAACTTCTCCTGTGAGACTTCCCCATTCTCGTCGCGTATTCTGAAGTCAAATGAAGGTAGCTTCAGAAGATTTTTGCATCTTGACATACTCATGAAGCCCGCTAGTTTCGGTACACACTTCGTGGAGCTTCGTGTGATGCACCTCAATTTACTTAACGACGCTTTCATTCAATTTCAGTTACACAACCATATTTTTCTAAAGCAGATTTCCGTTTCAAAGGTAATCTGCCCACACTTTTCGGAACAACGCTTCATCCCTCGTTTCAGCATTGCTGTGGGGAATTGGAGCAAAAACGAGAACAATTGTGCCATGGGCTACGAGCAGGCACTGCGGAGCCACTCTTTTTCAAGAGGAATCGATTCGCATTTCAGCACAGCGTCCGTGGTCAATGGTTTAAAGCTTCTAAAATCCGCTCGCTCCGCATAGAACTGCTGCTATGGGCCACGTTTGCAAGACGAATATCTATCCAGGGCGATAAATATGCTTGCAGAATACAATTACCGCTTCTAATACTGCGAGATACCGCTAGTGAGATTGCCTTACCTCAACAAAGGGTAAGGTGGAGGGGAGGAGAGGGGGGAGGGAGAGGGGGAACGGGAGGTGGAGGAAGGGTAGTAAAGGGTTTAGGATTGCAGGGAAGTGGAAGGATATCCAGTGTAATTAGGAAGTAATGCAGAAAATGCCTAGTTCAGAAGTTGGTAACCTCGTCATGTAACTGGCAGCAAAGAGAAAACGGGCTCGTCAAACTGCCCGAAAAGCCCTAATTCAGCTTTCCTCGTATTCAATGGAGGTGCGAAGCATACGGGCGTACATACATAGGCATTCAATAGCAGAACAAACCCAATAATGAACTAGGCTTTTTGGTTGTCTCCAATTCCCGTTCTGCCAGTTAGGCAATGATCTTTCCAGTTAATCTTCCCAAGTCTCCGCGTAGACGATGGACGGATATGGGACTAGGGAGTTTTTGCAAGAGTGACTCGACTGTAGAACCCTACAACAGACCATTCAGCGCAGCCCAATATGATCCAATCACAGTGTTACTAGTACTATCCAGGGACTTCTGTTAATTCGTCTCTCAATAGAAAGCTCACAGGAAGCTTCCAAAGTGAACCTTTCCTACAACTTCCCCCCTCAGCTCTTCCGAAGTGACTCCCTTCCGAGAAACCGTCAGCCTCCATTTTACTAGTCCCACCAAATCAATTTTTCATATTCGGTCGTCCACACTGAATCGGCTACTCCGAAGAAAGCTGTCAAAACGTCTTGATTTATAACTGGGGTTCAAGGAACAGCCGTAAATCAAAGATTCGGCAAGCGCCTTTAAGTGGAATTCGATACGACCACACCACTACTGACCTCGCATTGAATTCCTTGCCTTCGAGAGCAATGAAATCCTCTCCGGGCTTTAGAATACCGCATGCCGTTGCAATGGAACGCGCTGTGTTGATGTTGTCACCAGTGACCATACGGACGGTGATGCCAGCTTCTTGACACTTCGTAATGGCGGCTGGTACTTCTGCAATCAATCAGGATATCCAAAAAAGGGTTTTTGTTGAAGCAGAGAGGTTGCTATTCTGAGTTTCCTTCTAATTCAGAACTCCGAATACTACAAAATCGTCTAAAGACAATCCAAGTATCGTAAATAACAAAAGTGGAAAACGGTAGTTCACCAACAGCTTCAATCAGAAGCTCACTCCAAGGAATTCAAGCCTAGGAGAAGAAAAGCGAACCTGGACGGACAGGATCTTGAATTCCCATAATAGCAATGGCTGTCAAATCGCTAAGCACACCATCCTCATTATCCCAGTCAATCTGGCCCGTGTAAGCAATCTGAAAGGAGTAGCAGGTAATTCGTGATTGCTAAAAAAAAGGGAGAGCTTGTCACCAACCTGGTTNACATAGTCCTTGTAGGCAAGGCAAATGGTACGTAAACCATCTGATGCCATGGGTTCGATGACATTACGTACTAGAGCTTCGGCATCTTTGGCTGTGAATTTGACAAGTTGACCATTCTTGCCCAGGAACCACTTGCACCTGATAATTAAGGAGCTTAATTGTGAAAAGAAACTGGCAATGTTGTCATTCCACCTGTTGAAGGGAATACCATCAATTTCATCGAGAATAATTCTGCCCTCGATGGCTTAATTTAAAACAAACAACAACAAAATTTTTCAACTTGAACAACTTACTTCTTTGTTATGATTTCCGATGCTCCTTTGCTGAACACTCGGAAGCCGCCACCAGGTCGATTGATAACCGTCGACATACTTTTACGTACTGAGTTGAAGGTATACACCTAGAACATACTCACATGAAGTTCCAAGAGTCCCTCTCCATTCCCCCTACCCCAAACAAATAAAAAACAGATGGAAAGAAATCATACCTTGGGGATGGACTCTTCTGGGTTCTTGTCACGGATGTCCTGGTAACTGGCGCCCAGCGCTAGAACGAAACCTAGCAGACCACACTCCGTCTTGTTACCTAGTTGAGTTGCTTGCTCTCCCATTTGCTTAGCTGGTATCACCTGAATCATGGAAGGCGATTCTTAGCACGAAAATTTTTCTATTGCAAACAGTAAAACATATAAATCTTTCCAGCCCACAAACCTGGGATGAATAACTGCTGTTGATGGAGATGCAGTTCAACAGCAACTCCAACGTCTCCTTGTTAAGATTTTCCATCTTCGGCACTTCCTTATAGTGAACTTCGTTGATGTATGATTGTACGACAGTCATTCGATTTGTGGTCAGAGTTCCGGTCTTATCCGAGCAAATCGAGGTGGCGTTACCCATAGTCTCACATGCGTCCAAGTGACGTACCAAGTTGTTGTCCAGCATCATCTGCAATAAATAAAGTCACTGTAAACCTACCGTGAAAGTCTGAATTTTGAAGTTTTCTCTGGTTTACAGTTTAGACAATTAATTGGCAAAATATCAAGAAGAAATAGTGATTTCAAGTAAAGTTTGAAAAAAAAGAAGATTGAAGACCTGAACAGACCTTTTTGACAGAATACGCAAGTGATAGCGTCACAGCCAGCGGCAATCCTTCAGGTACAGCAACTACAAGTACCGTAACACCGATAATAAGAAAGTTGATGAAATGTTGGAAGTCGGCCAACGAGAACGACTTTTCTTCAATGGCGTATCGCGAGATACAGAATCGGATTACAAGGATCAATACTGTGCAGCCAGCAACAAAGGATCCTGGAACATAGTTAGTTCCGTACCAAAAGGATGTGATTACATAAAAATTGTGATTTTTTTTTTGAATTTTACGAAAAAGCAGGGATCGATTTACTACAGTCTGCCAAGCAATCCGTACACTCATCAAAACGCACCGCAAGCAAGATCTGTTCCTCTGTTACATTCAAAATGGGCAGCAAGGATGAATAAGGTCTTCACTTTAAATCGGCAGGCCTCTCTCTCGCTCCTTCGACTCATCGAACGCCATACCCGGGGCTGATACATTCAACTTTCTAGATCCTACTTGTTAATCCCACATTAAGGAATTGAAGGGAACTTTGGAGTGTTGGTTGTCTCCATTGTCAATTTTAATTTCATTTTATCAAAATTAGTATCATGCCAGAGCAATACTCCTTTTTTGCGGAATAAAATTATCAGATGAGCGGAATCCCTCTTGTAATATTACCAAAAAAGAACAACTAAGTGAATAGTGAGGGTTGTGTCGATGGAGGTATGCGAGCGGAAATACCCTCGAATTTCAGACTTTCGTATGTGACGTCGCATCTTGTCAGTGAAAACGAGCAGCCCATTCTTCACATTCGTAACTGTTTTGGATTTGTACTATCACGCAGATGATAGGGCGCATTTACCTGCGTAACCAATCTGAATCGCCAGCCGTGTCAGCTTGGCTTGCAATACAGAGCGTTCCTTTTTGCCATTCTCCTCGGCAACCACTTTCCCATTGGCCAAACCATCTGCTCCATCAGCCTTAACATCTGAAACAACACAAGTTTACTGAGTTATAGACCTCTATTATCCATTCTCGCAATCACATTTCCTTCATAAATCAGTGATAGCAAGAGAGCAAGAGAATTAAAGGCCTCTGATTCAAAACCCCACGTACCTCTGGGTCGCCCTCAAGACATCGAAAAAGAAATGATGCCTGGACCTTCTACTGAGTAAAATATTTTGGTTCTATGCGGACATATAAAGTCACAGAAGCCACGGGACTGTTGTACATGGAGTTTTAAGACAGACTGAAGACACAAATCGAAACCAAAGAAAGAAGTGAGCTAGACAAGTAAAAAGAACACGAGAAAATAGGTACTATGTGCCGCGCTTGTACACTCGCAGTGCAGTACAGAAGAGTACACCACTACGACACGAATCTAATCACGAAGTACAGATACAATCGAAGAACGCGAAATCGTCGTCGAATGGATCATGCTCCCTGTTTGGGTAGGATGACAAAACGACGGCTTCAGAGATTGGGTATGAGGAAGGGGCAATCATCGGAAAAGGTCCAGTTCGAGCATTCATGATGTAGCACAGCGGTTCACTCCCGACCGGGTCAACGAAAAAGAAGACGTCTAATACAAGGACAGATACCAATCGTAGGCTTAGGTCCTGCACGAGGAACCTGGTCTGAGAGTAACACGCTTGCTTTGGACAATAAAAACGGACAACTCACCCAGTAACGCTTGGGCGGTGCCTTCGTCCGTCTCCTGCACTGCATCACCTGAAACGACGAGAAGCTAAAACTACGTGTGGATAGACAGTGTGTATGAGAGCATGTGCCAGCACTTACAGGAAAGTGTGCAGGCATGTACGTGTGGGTGAATGAGTGTGCGTGTGTGTTCGTGCTTTGGGAAGACCACACACAAACAATTACCCACACATCGCATTCCTTATTATCACCACACAATTCGACCAAAACAAGGAATAGGAAGAAAAGTACAGGAAAATAAACAGTAAGCAATGCCAATGCCTGGCGATATGGTGCACACGGGCACGATTGTGCTTTGCAGCGATGCTCACTGCTTGCCCAGTATTTCCTACAGATTGTACAGCGCTTGTCAGATGACTGAACTTTCGTATTGTCCTACAGATAGAGCTGCATCTCCCTAATTCATAGCATACCACATGCATTGTATACCATGCTAGTGCAAACAGTACCAACGAACATTTGGTGCTGACAAGATTGCAGAAAGTCACAATCTGCGGCTGTGGATGTACAGCGATTAAGTGAAAGTAATCAACAAGGACAAGTTGGGGCACGCAACGCCTATGAAACTAAACTTCGTCCATATTAACGTTGGAACAATTTGAACAAAAATGAATACAAATACGGTACTGAAGAAGACTTATGGGAGTAAATGTTCGATGAAAAGAGCATCGAATTCCAAACTAAACCCCCCCCCCCCCCCTNGACATGATCGGGTTTTGGGTTCTCTTAACGTCCTGTCAATAGGTTTTCATTTTCTTTTTGCAGGCCACAAAAACCGTTCATTCTGTTTTCCTATCGCTGACATCGCTTGTCGTTCAAATGTAATCTCTCTTCCCTTCTCAAGGAATCTATGCTCTCTAGGCTATTCGATTGCCAGGCCACATAACTCTAAACATATAGTCAAAGTACCATAACTACGGATGCCAGTTTTTACAGTTCAACAATACTATAATTGACCGACTTCTCGGTCGAGATCAAAGACACAACTCGAGACAAAAATTGTTTCTGAAATTTTCAACAAGGGCGAACCGGTGGCTCTCATGTATGCCACCTGGGTAGCTGTCGCATTGAAAAACGGCCTAGAATTTGTGCAATAAGGAATCGTAGATCGACTTCGTCAACGTCCACTCCCAAAAATGGACGTGTTTCGAGGTTGCAACATTCACAATGGAGCACATATCTTGACAACTCAAGGAATTAGCGTGGGCTACCCCGCCAGGGAGAGAATTTTCTTACTTCTTGCTTAGCAGGCAGCTATTTGTAAATTATATACACTGGATACTTACCCATACATGCCAGTTCCGTAACAGTAACCACTTACAAACCCTCACTTTCACTACTTTCAAGTTTAACCCGAAACCATCGTGAATCGTGCTTTCCATCAAGCTAATGGTTCCTTCTAAAAGAATATCTAAATAGGAAAAAGTTCCCTCCAAAAAAGGATCCAATGATATCATTAGTTTGACTATAATGAGCATGCACCTACAGGAAATCATTTCATTATAGAACTAGGTCTTGTACGTCTTTCGGATCGAGTTGTATGATAAGGAAACTACCTAAGTGTATGAGTAGGACTTTAAAATTGAGTGGAACTACTACATAAATAAATCATTCTACGAGCCTTTCACAGTTTTTAGGTGCCTCTTAATCCTTGTGATTACAAGAACAGAACGATAATAGTCGAAAAGATGATAGAAAACAAGACAGATAGAGAAATATAGTGAAAATGAGAGCGAGTGAATAATAGTCAAAAATGCAACAAATGAATAGTTCACCAACGAACAAACATACACCAGCAATAAAGGGAGACGACAGGAGGAGAGCTAATGCTTTTCAAGCTTTTGATACTACAATCATCGGCTCTCCCCCTTCGACTTGCGAATTTGCTGACGCTCACCTATGCCGGGCTGCGACTTGCTCTTGGTTATCGAGCGAGAGCGACGTTCTAAACCGACTGGACCGCTAATATTTTCAAAATCTTCATTTCGAATTCAAATAAAGAGAAATTTTTGAAAGTTTCACCTTTTGAGTTCATCAAAAAGGAACTTTTTCCAATAATAAAGAAATCGAAAAGATTTCCAAAAATTGATCGTTCAAATGGATGTAAACATCGATGAGCTGTGGGTTTGCTCTCACCTTAAGAGGAATTCAACCGTAGGGGAGCGATTTTTCGTAGGATAAGTCATGATATCGGGTCAAAGACTAAGTTTATGGCTTTACTATACGAGAAAGTAAAGCTGTTGTCGCTCGTGACAGCAAAAAACAACAGAAAACTGCCTGGAACTGACAGAAAATGCAAAAACCAAGTATAAACAGCTCTGGATTGCTGACAAGTTCCGGCGAACTATCGCACCCCTTGAATTTACACAAAAGGCTATACCTTTCGATTTGAATACCTTACCTTTTAAGTTTTCATGAGTGCCCCATCTTCCCCTGCTCCACCCACAACTCATTCAAGGTCAAAGCTGTTTATAAGAACTTCATTTTCTGTTTCCAGCAGTTCCCCATCATTTTTGCTGCCGGTAAAGGAAATACCCCAAATCATTCATGTGAGAAATATGACATGCAGCCAATGAGACTTTTCAGAAAACATGGGGCTATGTTCTCCAGACTTCCTGGCGGTCAGCGTCAGCTGCTTTGAGTGAAGTTGCCTAATTCGGAAGATGTGCCCATCTCCAACCGAACGACGGGCTTATTCAAGCCCGACTTATGTTAAGCAGCTGTAGCTTGCATCACCGACTGCGCGTGGGAGGAGAGAACTTGGCTCAATAATCGCTTCTACACGATGTCAGTGGAGTTTACGTCACCAAGTCAATATAATGCGTCAAATCCTTGCAAATTCACCTCAGAGGTAAATATGTCATCTACGACTCTAATAAACATAAACAAAAACAGCTCAACACATCTAGACACTCCCTAAAAACGAAAGAACAACATGAAAGCAAATATTGAGGACGGAGAACTAGGACTCATGATATACTACGGTACGCAACACCAACGATATCGCTACTACTCCAAAAAGAAGCACTCTATCAAGCGTAAGATGCTGTAGTGAGCTCATTGCACTTACCCTCTCGTTTAGCTGCTTTCCGTTCTTCTTCAGCTACTGATTTAGCCGCTCCAAGTAACGTCATGATGATACCCGTCTGTGAATTCACACCAACGGCCGTTACAAGCATCTTAAAGTATCACTTGAGCCTGAAGTACTCAACAGGCCCCAAATTGCAGAACGACCTAGACACCTACCTTTGCTGAACCCTCCATCACATGCGTTCCAGACAGGATCACCGGATCATGTTCGGGGGTTTTCCGAATAAGATCAGACTCTCCCGTGAGAGATGATTCATCAATTTTTAAATCGTTCGATTGAATCAGAACGCCGTCGGCAGGCAGCAGATCACCTTAAAACTGGGGTATCCTTCAGACATTCGGCAGAAACTAAAAAAGCCAGGAAATGGGCAAAAACCGTGGCTGATGTGAGTAAAGTTCGTGAGAGTGATTTGACAAGGACTTTTAAATCCTATTCATTTGCTCAGTAAGAAAATGAGCTTTCTCCGTATTACTCTGTTCCCATATAGCATTTTTACCTTGGCCCATTAGCCCAAATGAGTTAGAGATTTAAAGGCACAGTTCACGATACCTTACTTGAGGTACCCTTTTCAACTCGAAAAGCAGAAGTATTGGTGGGAATAGTGCATCAGTGGTGAAGGAAGCTAAAAAATCCACCGATTCTGAGGAAATAAGGATCCAAATGTCGTCAAAATTGAGGTTGTACGAGACACCATGACGGAAATGACATGGAAGGAGTATTTGGACGAGTTTCAGTCGTTGCAATAGCGGAAAGAGCTGATTACATCAAGCTAAAACCATCCAGAATTGCCTTTCACTTTCGCTATGGATTATGACATGTTGTTTAAGCTTTCTATATGGGTTCCCGTGTGATCTGTGCAGCCTCTACAATGCCGTTGAAACTCGTCTACGCATACTCGTGGGACAATCTTTGAGCTTTTATATCGCCCTACCTAGGCCGTTTTCCGACCCGACAGTGCCACATATGGTATACGAGGGGGCCACAGATTTATCCCAGCGGGAAATTTCATAAGCCATCTGTATCGTGAACTGTGCATTAAGCTCCCACCACCCTGGGAAAGGATTCGACAAAACAGTTCTTATTTCCAATGCTTGAAAACCCAATCCATTCGAAAACCTATCACAAAATCACATAAAATAATAAATCAAAGTACCGTATTTAATCTGAGCAACATCGCCAACGACCAGCTCGTTGACAACAACCTGAATCGAATGGCCTCCTCGAATGACGGCAAACTTATGTTCAGTTTCGATTTTTGCTTGGAGTCCTAAAATACTTTCATATAGACTGATACAAGACAGCACAAACTATTGTTTACCGAATACTGACCTCTAAATTGCCGTTCCTTTGTATAGTCATTGAGAGCCGTTACCAATACTACTACGATGACTGATATCAAAATTGCAACACCTTCAATCCAACCCGCTTCGTGTTCGCTGTCGTCGACAGCTGCTGAAAANAAAAAGGTAGCGAGCGGAAAAAAGCTTCCAAATAACTGATAAAAGCAATCAATAAGTTCCCATAGCGAAAACAATCGTAAAGGGGGGTAATGATAGGGCATTGATCAGAAGCATTGCCTCGCGGTGGATGACTGCATATTAGAGGTCCAACTAGACCAATTGCGCATTCCAATTCTTGGAAGTCATTCAAATACCATGGGAATGGGAGAATAGGACCAGGAAATTGGGTAACCCAAATCATTGGAAAAGTGCAACACGCATTTCAATGCCCATCTAAATCTCAATGAAAATCATTTAGACCATCCCAGCGGGAATCCCCCTAATAGCGGGCAATTTTCATCGTCTTAAAAGGAAAACTATTTGATCCATCAGTAAGAAAGACTCCATAGCATTCCAATCGGGAGAGCACAGTCATTCCCATGGAAGATTCCCATCAGCGAAGATTCAACAATAAAATACCATTCAAATACATGTTACATAAATGTTGCCATCATTCCAATCAGGGCCACACATGAGTGGGCAAATGAAAATGAAAATATTCTTCCCAGACATCGTCCGCACTCGCCAGACATATCATTTCAACGGAATAAAGCAAAAAAATAAATAAATGAACATTCAAAAAAGGGAGGCATCGACTACTGAAAAGGATTTTGCAGTCGGAGACTTTCTAAACCCAAAGGACTCGTGCTGGTCTTCTTCAACAGAACCAAACCTACTTTTCAGCGACAATACCCCTCCACCTCAAGGTTAATAGAACTTATTGAGAAAGCACTGATATTTTAACAGAAGTAAAAAGCGCGATAGCCGAGTATAGCTCAAATGGTAGGAGTACATGATCCCAGTAGGATTTTCTACACACCAACGAGCCCATGCTGCAAAGGGAGCCATATCGAAGGAGAAAAGCAACTGTGAGGACTTGGTGAGAGCCATTATCTTTTCGATCCCTGATCAGGACAGAGAATTTGTACTATGAAATTAGCTCACTCACAACTTTCCGAAGGTTGAATTCTGCGAACTTTTCCTAATTCAGATTTTCGTATGCGATCCCGTAAGACCTTGCAACCTGCCAAGTTTAACCGAATTCGATGTATGTAAATTATGCACTAGGTATAACCAGAAAGCCCCGTTGATTGCAACTGTGAGGATCCCCGAGGAATGCGCAGTTGCTCTGACAACAGCCATAGGCTCGAGCTTTATGGGTCGAGTACTGGCTATGACCTAATTCACACATTAAATAACTGCATCGTAAGCGCCACTACTAGATCTACATATACCAAAAATGGTGGTATACTGAATGACAGCGCTTCGAACACTTCTAATTTTCAGAACAGTAGATGCTCTTATAGGATTCAATCCGTCCAAGTGCCCAACAAGCACATTAGAAGATTACTTGCGAGTGCGAAACCTCCTCTCCAACCTGTTTTATTCTTCCAGTTATGAATAGCTAACAAAAGACTGAACAGTCACCACGTAGACTTCCACCTAGAATATCTAGCGACCCATACGCTCAGGGAATTTCTCTGACCCAAAATTACCACCTTCACGGGGAAGTCATCCGCGTCTCTTCTCCGAGATAATGCAATTCCTTCTCACCTTCATCTTGGATTTCGTGAATTGACATAGAACCCATGAGGTACCATAGACCGTTGCACCCTGTACTTGTAAGCTCGAACAACCGTCACTCCTAATCGACTACATTTTACTGATCATTTACAGTATTTTTCTTTTTTAGCACATTTCCCAAATCAAGATTCAAATTCAATCGGATGGCGCGTGAGCAATGCACTTTAGCCAGTGATTTCCCTTTAAAGTGCTTGGTTCATGTTGGAAATTGTTTCGAAGTAGCTCTGTGAGGTGAATGTCGTATGGGCTACTCATTTATGCACTCCCGAACAATGTGTTCAATGGCATAGGGAAGAATGTGAATGGACAAAGCCGACGGCAGCGCGTCATGCTCAAACAACACAAATGCCGCCCTCAACAAACTGAATGTGCAGGCAATGTATTAAAGAAAACGTACGAATCCCATCCTACCTTGAAATCTACAAACTTTAGAAGTAAAACTGCCGCTATAAGCGTAAATGTGCTCTAGTTGATGGGAACCCTGAAGATTCTATTTTGTATTCACCATCAATTTCGCTTTAGAAAATTCCACTTATAAAAGAGTAATGCAGCTGTTTGCGTTCTTCCCAACGTTCATTTCGATGCACTTTCCGTACCTACCCAGAAGAGACGACACAATTGGAACTTTTTGAAGAACAAACTCTTAGGTGAATCCAACAACCATCACAATGAAACCGCAAAGAGCTGTTACAGGTGTACCACGTAAGTGAAGCTGGTTCTGATGTTTGCACAGTTCACAAGGCCGACACGATCGTGTAGTGATCTTGTGTACACAGCGCTTCACAATTCAAACTTTTCCTCAGGTCAACCTTTTACTCTACCTATCCAAAAGATCTACCTATTCTGAAGGGTTGCTAGAGAGGATTTCGACTTGGAACAACGGAAAAAGTTGTTATGACAGAGTTCGTGGTATTTCTTCAAACAACACTGCTCAGAACAACTCAGACAGCTGTTTCCACGTAATCTGGAAAGCTCGCGATTTTGGGACCAAGTGTGAGAGATCTAGGTGGTACACAGGGCACTTACACATGATAAGACCTAGGTGACCATTGACGGGGGTAGTTGTCGCTACCGAACGAGGAAGTCACTAGTAAGCCATGCGTTGACCAATCCCGTCTGAGGGATGCGCCCACGCGTTCGACTTCCATTCAGAATCGTAGGGGCGTATTGAATGCGTATGTAGTCTATACAATGATTTGTGGTGGTCTGCCGATGTACAAGTCAGTGCATTTATCCTCCCAGACGGGTCTGGTACCAATTTACCGAACCCGTATGGATGGAGACTTCGAGGCCTAGGCGGATATCGATCCGGGATTCAAACCCGTGACCAAGCGTGTGTGATGTGCGCAACTTGCCACTAACACACCTCCGCCCTCGTTGTTATTATTACAACACAACCCATAACCACTTGTAATTATAGGGACTAATCACCAGGAACATAGAACCTGCACAAAATGCCTTCGGTCCACGGGTAGACCACTTCAAATGTGTTCGATGGCTTTATGTTGATTCCTACACATACAGGGCAATCTCTTGAGAAATCATTTATGCAAGTTTTCTTTGCCTTTTCTCATCGCAATTATTAGAGCCACTGTTCCCCAGAAGCTGCTGGGAAAACATTACAACCAGCATCGTTTCAATGAAGCGCTTTCAAGAATCAAAGCGAGAAAAACAAACCTTAAACTTGAAGTAAAGATGGTTCAATTAAGAAGAATTGCTTTAGAAATATACGAAAAAAAGGAAAAAATCTTAAAGTACCTCATACTTTTGCCTGAGGAACACAACATTTTCTATTTAGTCGATCATAAATGAGATTGGGAAATGAGAAATTATCAATACCATCTGGAGTGTCATGAAAAATCTTCAAAGCCCAAATTGTTTCAAATCCTTTGAGGTCCCTCATTTGGAGTTACCAGTAGGGATATCACCCCTGGGAACAGAGAAGTTGCGTCAGCTGACAGTCATCAAATGTATGTATACTCTTCAGCAGTCACAGATACTGCTGCTGTTGTTGATGGAACCCAAGACTTCCCCGTAATAGTTGAAAAAATCTTCGAAAAATTCGCAAAATCCGCCTAAAGCTGAGGTACTTGTACCTTTTCAGAATCGAGAAAAGCTTCTAAAAGATGTTGGAAACGAAGGCTTACTTGTGCCATCATCTGGTGGTCGATAAAACGAGAGCGCTAAGGAGACGATGGCAGACACCAACAGAATAACCAGGGTCACATCCTGAAATATAATCATTCGCGAACAATTCTTTTTCAACAAACTGAAATTTTGACTTTGACTAAACCCGGCTCTTGGCCTCTTTTAGTGTGTTTAGCTGTTTTTCTACCATTTACTCTTTTCCCTGTTCGTTCACACTTGGGAGTTCTTGACCCTTGAGATCCCCTATTTTCCCTTCAACAACACCTCCACATAGATAGTCGTGGACGGAAGCGGCAACAGACCCATTCGGACGTTTATCGCTTGAACGAGGTAATCAAATTTGCCTCCTGCTCCGCGGAGCTCCATGATGAACACAAACGAAAATTGCGCTCATATTGCCTATGCCTTCACGTGCGCCAGCTGCAAATCTGTCTCCATATCATATGAACAATTAAAAAGTACGGCAAAGAAGTATTTTCACCGAATGTGCTTTTGAAAGGCTGTGTAGGCAACAGTGAAAAATCAAAACCTTCTCCTGTGAAGTAAGTTTTCCGGCAAAAAACCAAATTTTTCAGAATTTCGGAGGGCAATTGCCTTCCCAACGCCTACCCAAATTAACTGAATGCATGAAGGTAATAGTCTGAACAACTTTGTTCTTCGAAATTGCGACGCACGCATGCAAATAACCACTCTTATGCTTGACTGCTTTCCATTGAAGCCCACGCACAACTTGAACAAACCAATTGTTTGCTAAAACGTCAACACAGGCAAGTGCCCCTACCCTATTTGTCCGTCCACAACTGCGCTATCTTCTGGTTAGGGTCAACTTTTCCACATAAATGAACTCTTTTGAACCATGACGGTAGTGCGATAAGGCACATTCCATCGTTTAACTACGGCGGAACAGCTGGCACTTCAAAGGAAAAAACCGAGGACTGGTGGCATACTTCCCTCGGCCTGCTTTCGTGGACAATACATTGCCAGTATGTTGCTAGCGATCCTACCCAATGATCTTTTACAAACAATAGCTTACAGCAGACCGAATATGAAAATTCGAGTACAAATAAAATATGAATTGAAAAAAAAGGCCTGAAAACATCAAAAACAGTCAGAGATAGCTTGCTTAGCAAGCCTTAAAATTCAGGCTTATTGATACTGATAGCCATATGGCGCAATCTAGCTGATATAAAACGCCCTTGTAGTTTTCCAGTAAGATGAGCCACCGCTATGAACTCATGGATGTGGCATATTTTCTTTTAGGTAGCTCGACAACTCCTAATTCAGCATCGATAGGCTCATTTTTTGATTTCTTTTTCAAGGACTACCCCTTGTTTCCCTATTCTAAAGTCATCAACATCAAATGGTAAATGAGCTCTTGACTTAAATAATCGACACCACCTTTCGAGGCATACAGAATCCAAATCTAGTCAAATCAGAGTTTCTCAGTATACGGATCGTTTTGCTTTAGAGGCGCAAATCACGATAATTTTTGAGGTACCCTTTTTAGTCGAAGTATAATACAAGGTGGGAATTGTTCATCGGTAGTGAAGAAAGCGAGAGAAATCGCCGATTTCGAGAGAAATATGCCTCCTCGAAAGTAGGGAAAATAGAGTGGACGAGATTACCATGACTGAAATAAAATGGAAAGGGTATTCGGACGAGATTTCAGTCATTGCAACTGCACAAAGAAGCTGACTACATCAAACCAGAACTGTTCAGGACTGCCTTTCACTGTTGCTATGGGTCACGACAAGTTTTTTGAACTTCCTACATGGGTTCCCTTGTGGGTCCGTGCAGCCTCTATAATACCGGTGAGACCCGTCCGAGGATACACAAGGGACAACCTTTGAGCCTTTATAACGCCCTATCTAAGCCATTTTCAAGATCTGAGAGCGAAACATGTGCGCTGTATATGAAGGGGCCATGAATTCATGCTAAGGAGATATTCCCCAGCCATTTTCATCGGGAACTTTGCCATCGAAAAGTTGCATGGAGTGCGCTATTTGAGTGACAATTCATTTGAAATTCCGCTAAACAGTTTTACAGTTCTCTAGATCGACCCAGGCTTTCCACGACGTAGCCTAACCAAGAGCTTTCAAAGATTTATGATGCTGAGAACTTTCCGCCACTCTCTTCAGAAGGCCTTAACCAACTATCCACTCAGACCTCCCATGACAACTTTACAAAAAAACCGTTCCAAAACTGGATCCTTTGACAGCGGTACAAGCCAAATTCGACCAAACTATAAGTTGCGCAGTTCTGGAGTGCTCTTGGCCCTAACACAAAGTCGTATTAGTCATTATTAGCCGAAACCTTGTTAAGCACATCCACTGCGCCCAACGAGGACCTCGTCACAGCCATTAAATTAGCTCTTCCCCGAGACACTCCAAAAAACCTCCGTTATTGATTAAAACCTATTCTAAACGAAGGGCACCACTCCATGTTGTAAAAGGACGGTTTTTTAAAATAATACCCTCTGAACCGCAACATTTCTTCAAAAAAGTAAAATACAGTGCTACACTGGCATGTCCACGAGTATTTCAGTCGTTATTGCATTTCCCCACTTTGGTTGCATATTAACTCACGCCACTCTCCATAGCAACTCCTTGAATCGGCCTGAGAATATTAACTTCGATTAGACTGAGTGAATGCTGCGACGGCAGCCAAGGGCTTCATTCAGTCGAAGAGAAAGCGAACCAAACAACTCAGGGTTCAGTTGAAGATAAACATGTTCCTCAAAGCCCCAGCAGCCGATGAAGTTTGAAAGGAATATCTCCGCAATTTAATTTTTTAAATATTTTTTATAGCACATAGACATGACGTTTACCTACTCACCATTAGCAACCAGATATTTTAGACGGGAGCCAAAAGATCGTCCCTGAGCGCTCCTCTGGCTAACTCCTTCTCAAAAATTCATTTCCAGTTTGGCAGTTTCAAGCCGCAAGTTCCACGCATATACGCCACTCTCGTCCGTTCCCCTCCCCTCCTTCTCCTCTGCCGCTCCCTATACGTGCGCCTCAACAAAGCGGCCCTCAGGGAATGTATTGCGTGGGCAGAGCGCGAGCAGAATACTCCCACCACAAATTGCTCCACAAAAAAAATCAAGTCAAAAAAGGGGTTTGGCTTTTTATGTAGAAGACCTCCATGTCTTCAGCAATTGAGAAACTTTGAAGTAGAGCAACTCTCAAAATCGTGAAGAAAAAAGTCAATTCACATGGGATTCGCCCAATATTCCTCCTGTAAAGATGGAACAAGGAACATAACCCCTCATATACGCAACAATTTCAGCTCATAAGCTAAACGTTTGTGTGCGTCCGCGGCGGGGCTGTCCATATAACATGCAAAAACATATGCATACGGCTCGTAAACCTAAGCCATAGATAATTTGCATGGGTTCGCTACGAAAACAACGTGGATATGTGTAAGAACAGGAGCTGTATGGGAGCAGTCAGCCACTATACCCATAGCTCAGGCCCATATTTTGTTCATGGAACTCGGAACTTTGAAATTGACAATTATATAAACTTTGAAAACTTTCTGAACATTAGAGAATCAGAAGGCCATATCCTTCAGTGCTGAATATCCTCTTTTTTTGAATTTCAAATTGTTAAAATTAATATTGCAATGGATAGCAAGCTGATCGGTCGACATAAAGCACATTAGTCGATCGATAGCATTTGTTTCACACTAAAAGCCCTGCCGGAAAAAAAGCTGTCTGCGTTTCTCCATTCATTCACTTCGCTGCAGGGATACCTCGTCAGTGTGAGCAGAACAGACCAAAACGCATCCGAAATGATAGAAAAGTTGACGAAACACCATGAATAATTCTCAAAACCCCTCCGAAAACCATACTCGTTCTATCAAGGAACAAAGATTCAGTGACAGCCCCATAACTAACAAGGGCATGATAATCTACATTCAGTAGATGGGAAGGATGAGTCATTTAGCGTTATTCAATCCCTCCTGGGATGGGCTCCTCCTTCCACCTTTATTCAGCGTTGTAATGGCGTTCTGAGTGCTTATGATGCCCACGTTGGGCAGCTAGGTATACCAGGCTCAGCTTTTGCCCTGCTGAACGAGTTGAATACCAAGCAACCGATCAAGAACGGCGGAATGCCTGGTCGGCATGAGAGGGTGTTCATCCGGATTAAAGACCCGCGCCATGCAGGAAGTCAAATGGCGTTCATCAGTCCCTTCTGGGATGCGCAGCGGTTTCTACTTTCACTCAGAATCGTAATGGCGTTTTGAATGTGTATAGTGTCCATACAGAGACTTCCGCAGGATAGCTCCGTGTACCAGTCTGAGCGTTTACTCTGCTGAACGAGTTCAGTACCGACCAATCAACCCAGAAAGTAATCATGCTTAGTTGCCTTAGGGGAGTATTCATCCGTCGTTTGAGCCCCGGACCATGCATGCGATAGTGTGCCACTTGACACTACACCACCTCCGTCTTTTGTATTCAGTAAAGCCACCATTCCATCTACTTCACTTCCAGCCATCGATTGCCCCCCATCCTTGAAACGTAACGTCTTTACTTTGCTTTCGATAACGCAGCGGGCGCTTTTCAAGACAAGGCAACAACACATCAAAATCTCCTCGGTGTACGAGATAACGCCACTTTACTGAATTCATGGATTCTGCTCACTCTTGAAGCTCTTTAAGACTTTCATTAAATACATGAGATTCTCTCTACTATTAATTAAAAGAAAAAAAAAGAGTGTAAGATGGTAAGGACCGAACCTGCAATGCTTCCCACACCAATTGCAAAAAGCATTTAGGTGGATGAGGTGGAATTTCATTGGCGCCAAACACTGCTCGTCGTCGTTCCAACTCAGTGGTCGTATTCGGGATTCCATTGTTTGGATCGGTTTTTAGCCGCTCACATAAACCGTTTATTCCACCATAATCGGCATCGATCTTCTCCTTGGCTTCCGCGCCCCTGAAGGAATGACTTAATTCATGTTTCACGTCAGGCATGCCGTTATTGCGCTTAAACGCCTTCCTAAAACTTCATACCACATTCTGAGTCATACTAGCAAGAAGAGATTCATTTGTAATTCATCGCCCACACGAGTTGCTCCTCTTACACCGAATCCCAATGAGATTTTCTTTCTCCTTTCAAAAGTATAGACTTCTTTACAAAATTGACCTTCACAGAAGTGTTTCCCAGTCCAAGTAAACATGGTCGCCCTTCCTTCGCTCTAATCACTAGCTAATCATTGGCTGACGACAGAGTTTGATGCTGCGGTGTAATGCAAGCAAGAAAGTAGAGGTTTACACTGACGGGTGTTTTTTTTTTAAGACAGATGGGAACTTGAGTCAAAGGGGTCTCACAACGATACCGGCTACAATAGCCACATAACTGGTTACCTGCCGCATCGCAGATTTCTTTTACCAGGGTTACTCATATGCGCATCAAAATAGAGAGCATGGGAAGGGGAATAGCAGTGAGGGGAAAACCAGTTGATCGAAATACTGCTCATTGAAAATGAGCCATAACAACATGAACGAGAAAGTAAATCATTTCAACACGGCAATGAAGTTCTTGGTCATCGATTGGGCAGAAAGATATACAGACAAGTATTTTATAGGGCAGGAACATTAAAATATAGACTTTGAACGACCTATCGAACTATGACTTTTCGAAGATCTTTCCAGTACCATATCAATGAGGAATCAATCGCCCAGACAATTTACCCAAAAAAAGTTCGCACAAATGTAGTCGAATTCGTGATATACCTGTACTCCATGAGGGCGCGAAGCTCCTCCAGAGACGCTCCATACTCGCCCATAGTGAACCTGGAAAGTGATTCACGATTACTTCCGGTCGATTTGTATTCATAGGAAGTTATTTAAGAACAACATTCGCACAGATGATGAGACAGTGTTCAAGACCATGACTCATCTTGCAGAGTAAAACTTGACGGTAATAAATTTCTTCCGAAACACTTGAAACAACCCCTCCCCCACTTCCCTCCCCCTCTACTTCTTGAAATGAACATATGCCTACATGAGGTTACTAATCATGACAATGGTTTGGGAAACATGCAATTCAATAAGAATAGAGACAAAAAAAATTATTCAAGGATTGCCAAAAATAACCAATACATGGGAATAAACAGTATGATCCCTTTAGGAAATAACCTGCTCAGAGTAGCCTTCAACACCGCTAAACTACACACTCTCTAAGAGCTAGCAAGCACATGTCATCATATATACGCATACGGAAAGCACTGAACCCCAATTCTTTTTCTAAATCTGTTCCGAGCAGGCAGTATCCTTGGAGAGCTCGTAGATGTGGACAATTTTTCATTTTATATCACCTCTAAGGAGCACTAGCAGACCCTTCGATAGAGTCTTGGTCCGCAATCCAACTACGTTTTCCTCTCCCTAGCGCCCCTTCCCTTCCTTATAGCAATCGAAGGAAGAAGAATTCATTTTTCCTTTCCGGCGAATTCCGAAAAAGTTATACCTCCCATCTCTTGAACTTCTCTAGAGGGGAATAACATTAAAGGATACTTCCCAATGAAATGCACAGACCTTCTTGTAGGAGTCCAACTCCTTGATCCTGGAGGTAGCACACCACGCACACGCAAACAGACTAGATGACACTATCGTACGGAGTGATCGCAGAATACCGGTCACGCACTATTCCAGATCCACTGTTCTCATGCCCCGTAGGTTGTACCTGGAGCAATAATCGATAT